GGCAACTCCTGGATGAACACTATAGAATAACATAGCATGCTTAAAAAAAAAAAAGGAAACAAAGACAAATGCTTCCCTGTAACCCAAGATACCCTGCTGCACAGATACAAACTACAGTCCTGTGCATACTGTTGAGACCAACTGTACCTTTTAATACTCCATGAAGGTCTGTCAGTGTTGTTTTGTTTCTGTTTCTCTCATTCATTTATTAATCCTCATGTAGCCGAGGCTGGCCTCTGACTCTCTATATAACTAAGGATGGTCTTGAACTTCTGATCTTCCTGCCTCTAACGCCCTAGAACTAAGATTACAGGTGTGCCTTAGCATGCCCTGTTTATGTGCTGCTGGTGACGAACCACAGGACCTCCTGCATGATAGGCAAGCATTCTCCCAACTGAGCTACATCCCCAGCCCTGGGAGGTTTTTAAACTGATAAGCAGGACAACTTGACAGCAATGTTGGTCTAGGAATTGTGGGATTGTCTGTACAGGCCTACAGAGGCATTTTCAGGACAATTTTCCTGAAATCCTAGCAAGCACTTGGGCTTCAGGGCAGTGATTCTCAGCCTTCCTGACGCTGTGATCCTTTAGTACAGTGCCTCATACTGCAGTGACTTCCAACTGGAAAGCTATTTTTGTTGCTACATCATAAATACTGTAATTTTGCTACTATTGTGAATCGTAATGGAGATATCTGTTTTCTTATGGTCTTAGGGGACAAAAGGTCATTTGACCCCCTCCCTAAGGGGCTGTAACCCACAGGTTGAGAACCACTGATCTAGGGATTGTAAACAAGCTTTGAGAGTTGGGAAAAATGAATCTCTCTAGAGTGGGAGGAATAATGTTTCTCATAAAAATCACAGCAGTGACAATCCCTTGTGTCCTTCTTTTGCAACTTGGGCCAGGCAGAAGCCCCCCTATTGCTGGTATTTTAGATGGCCTCACAAAGATGGGTGATTAGGAAAAAATAAAAAGGGGTGTTTAGCCCACCAAGGAGGTGGAGACTTGAGAACACATCAGCACTCACATCTGTCAGTGAGCATCAGGGAGCATGTGCCTGTGGCACTCGAGTACATGTCCACATTTGCCGTGAAGGAGATGGGGGTCCCAGATGTGTGCATGGATACCAAGTTCAACAAAGCTGTCTGGGCTAAGGAGATAAGAGATGGTCCATATCCATGTGCATTTGTCCAGAAAATGTAATGAAGTTGGGAGTCACCAAACAAGCCATGTACTTTGGTTTCTTGTGTCCTTGTGACTTTTACTGACTGTCCCATAAAGATCAAGAGACGCCAGAACTGTAGTTCTGCCAATCTTCTGGACTACCAATTAGTTCTCTGTCTATCTGTCTCTAGCCTCCTCCCTCCCTATCATCTCTTTGTGCTCAATAAATAACATCCAACATATTTTCTACAACTTCCTTCTACCTTTTTTTTTTTTTTTTTGCATCAAATACTTTGTCATGTTAATAAAATAGCAGATTAGTCAACTTGTGACTCATGTGCCCTGAAGTTTGAGTCTTGGGCATTTAAGGACTTCCTTAAGGCTGACATAGTATCTACCTGTGGCAGCCACTTCTACTTATCCCCCAACATCCATTTTTCCTTTCTGCCTTAGTGAAACCCGTTTCTAAGCTGAGCACACTGCTGGCTAGGGCTCAGGCAACATCTCACTGATGAAATTCTGGTGAAGGTGAGAAAACCAGAAATTCTGGGAAGTTTCTTTAAAAAGAAAAAAAGAGATCTTTTTTCCTTCTTTTCTTTTCTTCCTTCCTTCTTTCCACCAAGAAAATAAAAGTGATAGCTGGTGTTCTAGCCACTTTTAGATTATTAGGCGACTCTGGGAAAGGGCAAATACTCAGCAAAACAAATCAATATACCAAGTCAGAATTAGTTGTCTGTACTTCTTTGATATGTAAAGGATGTTTCACAAACCAAGATTCAATAATGGCATACACCACTATTTTTTTCACATACTAGGAATTGAATGCAGGGTTTCATGAATGTTAAGCGCCCTACCACTAAGCCACATCCTTAGCCTTTGAAGTCTTTGCACTATGGAACATTAAAAAAGATAACAAGCAATCTACATTCACTCACCCGTAATACCATCTCTCCAAGTCGTCGTCTTATACTGCAAAAGGAAACCACTAATTACACACTTGCTTCCACATACACTTTGTAGAGTTTGGACTTAGGTTTAGCCATAAACCAAACATTAGCTTTCCTTATTTGGCCCTTTCTGAAACGTATACAAGGAACAGTACAGCCTGGTCACTGAACACTGCTGGTGATGATGGTATACCAGGAGCCAACTGGATGGCTATCAGTGGGGGAAGATTCAATAAGTGAACAGTCATGCTTGTAGCAGTTACAGGTAATGATAAGGAAAGGTCACCAAGGCAATCATTAGTTGCATAAGGCAAGCTGCAGAGCATTTACACCCAGCATAAAACCACTAATCAGAACACCGATGCAAATCAAACACACACAGGGTGGGGCTCAATATGAGACAGAGGCTGCATCCACACCAGTGCTTACTCTGAGGGCACTGAGGACAGGTGCCTGTAGTGCCTTCTGCCTGCAGTTCGAATCTTCCCTAGTGAGAACACACATTTTACTCATATGATTAATATTATTGTTAATGACTACAAATATAAATGAGAAGGGAATAGGAGAGAGGTAAAAGTAGTTTTCTATCTTAGATTCTGATAGGGTTCTGACCCCCTAGCAAAGGAGTTTTCTCTCTGTGGTCTCACTACTGTGTAATCTATTCTTCCTCTTACTCATATGAGTGGCTTCAAATGAAATCAATATTCAGTCATTACCTAAAACTCTGAATGAGACAAACAGAACACACTTGTTTCCTGTTCACTGAGTTCTTCTGTGTTGTAATCTTGCCAAGTTGATACAACAGACTGACATACCATGAACTGGGTGGTTTAACAACAGAGATTTCTCATGGTTCTGTGGCCTTGGAATCACCAAGGGAGCAGTTGATTCAGTATCCGATGAGGAATCTTCTTTCTTTCCTCCTACTCCTCTTCCTTCTTCTTTAAAACTTTTCAAGACAGGGTTTCTCTGTGTAGCTCTGGCTGTCCTGGAACTTGCTCTGTAGACTAGGACCAGGCTGGCCTCGATTTCAGAGATCTGCCTGCCTCTGCCTCCCAAATGCTGGGATTAAAGGTGTGAGCCACCACTGCCTAAGGGAATCATTTCTTTACTCACAGATTGCTGTCTTCTCTCATTTGGGTTAAGCTCTGACTTCACAACCTGGTTATCTTCTAAAGACAGACTTCCAAATATTATCGTATCACATGGGAACTAGGTTTCAGTAGTTGTCAATATAACTGTTCTAGCATAGGCATAGCTGCACAAACCACTCAGACTCTGGTCTCAGATATGGCTGGTTTTATTGGAGCCTTTTCCAAGCATTCTCCAGGTGACTTGAATGCTTATAAAGGCGAGTAAAGTGTAAGGTTATGGAAAGACATGAAACTGATTCCCTGGAAAACTGCCAAAGGTTTCAGCCTGGCAGGTGATAAGGACACAGTTATTGTGCAGACCCAAAAGGAGAAGGGTGAGGCTTGTGGCAGAGGAGCCAGAAAGACTTGCTCAAGATTCTGAAGACATAGGAAATCTTAAGCAAGTAAGCGGTAGGATTACATTCCTGTGTTTGGACAGAACTGGTAGCACTGTGGAGGATGAAACACACGCAGACAGCGTCCTTAAATGAGCAGCTTCCAGTCTGCACTAGAAAGAAATCTCATGGGGGATGGGGGGCATGGTCCAGGGCAGAAAAACAAAAAAACAACCAGAAGGGCTCAGGCTGCAGCTGGATGTAGGTTCTTTCTCTTCAGTGTGGGTCCCCAACTAGTAACACCAAAGGCTGGTTAAAAACACAGATTCTTAGGGGAGTGGGAGAAAGGGGCAAGAGGATGGGAGGGCAGGAGCGGAAGGAGACGACTTGCCTTTTATTTATTTACTTTTTTTTTTTTCGAGAAAGAAAAGGAGAGAGACCTAATAGGAATCGCGTTTTGCTACGTAGGCAGAACAAAAGCTACCTGGGGTAGATTTTACATAACACCCAGGAAACAAAACAACGGCCATCCTGCCCAGAAGCCTTCTCTCGAGAGAACTAAAAGTTTTGGTATAGACCGTGGTGCTGTCACCCTACCCCGTGACTGGCGGGTTCCTGTTATTCAGCACAAAGACTCGCTGAGAACCCCACGGCAGGACTGCAGTATTTCCGTGCAACCGCCCTTCAGGAAAACACAGCTCCCCGAGGAGAAGCCCCAGGCGCGGCGGCGGGGCCGGGCCAGCCCGGGCCACGCGGCGTCCCCCACGCCCCCGCGGCCTCCTCGCAGCCCGCCCGGAAGATGAACCAATCCCTCGGGCTCTGCAGTCCCGAGACCAGCGCTGACTCACACAGCACTTTCCACAGCCGCGCTCGCCTCGGGAAGGGGGAAAAACGTGCAGATTTTTTCCTCTCACGCGACGGCCCGACGTGCCGGGCTGGCCAATCAGGACAGGGTGGTGGGAACAGCACCAAAGTAGGTAAAAAAATGCGGGTTGCGGTCCCGGGCGCCCTTCAGCGAGTCCTCCGGGCCCAGCAGAGGTGCGGCCCGCCCGCCGGCGCTCGCCCCGCCCACCCCGCTCTGCGGCCCCGCCCACCCCGCTCTGCGGCCCCGCCCCGCCGGCGCGCACACCTGGCCAGGTGGCGACTTCCATGTATGGGCAACAGGCGCGCGGTGGGCGGGGCATCCGTGGTCCCGCCTCCGGGGCGGGGCCAGCCACCCTGGCGCGTTCTGCGCCTGCCCTTCACCGGGAAGCAGCCGCTCGCTCCTCAGGGCGGGGCAGGGGGGCGGAGACTCACGCGCTCCCGGGACTCAGCGCGAGTGAGGTTCCCAGCGGTCTGCAGACTGCCGGGCCTCCTGGGTGGGGCCTGGCCGGGGAGGCCGTCCTGTTGCGCAGCAACGGCGGGAGGAGCGTGGCGCGCGCAGCCGCAGTCGGCCCGCAACGCGTGCCCGCCCTTAATAAGGCCGAGCTGTCGCGTCCGCCCTGCGCTCGTTCTGCTGGTCCTTCTTCCGCGAGGTGGAAGCTGCCCGTACTTGGCTGCTAGGCTCGTCGCTCTCTCCCCGAAGTCCGCCGCAGCGAACATGGTGAGTGACCCGCAGCTCGGGCGTGCGCCGAGGGAGGGGCCGCGGCCCACGGCTCCACGGCAGCTCCCGGGCCGCATCGTGCCCCAGCCGCCCCAGGCCGCTGCCCGGGATCGTCTTCCGCCCGGCCTCGCTGCCTTCGAGCCAGAGGTCTGCAGCTCCCCGGGGTGGGCCGCGGAACCCGGCGACCGTCCGTGTGGGCGCGGCTTTCCCTAAGGCCAGCTCAGTGACCCAAGAGCCTTTCCAGCCCTTTCTCCCGAGCAGGAAAAGAAGGATCTTACTGAACACCCTAGAGGGCGGGGTGATTGCTAACGAGCGTGATTAAGAACCGGGTGGCCTTGCCGTGGCTTTGTTTGTCGTATCTGGCAATCAGCTTCAGTGGCACTCTCGTCGGGCTTGTCAAGCTTGGCAGTGTCTATTTTAACCCTTCCCTGCCGGGTCTGTCTGTCCAGAGCCAGAAATTTGCCTTGACCTGAGAACGTGTCTTTACCACAACTTTGGATGCCGGGGTGGACATGATGGTGCTTTCCTGATGCAAGTTTAAAAGCTTTCAGAAAGACCTTTTAATTACTGCAGGACTTTAAAAAGAGAAACGTTCGTTGTATTGAGATGGTAGAGATTTTGTTTAATCTACAAACTCTTCTACCTCTAAACTGTTACTCAGATGTGCTGTAAAACAGAATCTCAACTGGGCGATCAGGTAGAACGTTTTGTCACTGTAGTCTGCACACTGTTACCATTTTTGGTCAATCATTTGCTGGCAAGGCCTTGCCACACTGCTAGAAATACTCTCCTGTTGCTACATCTATCTGTGCGCCTGGAAGCAGTTGGTGCCCACTTATCTGTCTACAGAATTTTTTCACCGAATAACAACTTTGGTTTTTCCTTAGCCTATACCAACTGGCTCGCCGGTGCAGGCTGGCTCACTAGATTAAGTGGATAGTTTCCTTGCTTAATAGTGTCTTGATATTAAGTCTTGTTTGGGTGTAACTCCTTGAGCTACAGATAGATCAGTCCCTGAAATCTTTTGAACCTCTTTAAGTTTTAAATGAATATACTAGTTTATAGTAAAGAATCTAAAGACTTTGAGTTAATTTTAACAGTGTAATGAAGTGCTGTGAAGTGGATTGGTGTCTCCTCTTCGCTCTGCTGATTACAATCTTTTAGCGGAGAACACAAACTTTATATTTAAAACAGGGCCAAACATTTTAACTGTGTAAATGCTTAGTTTTAAAGCTTAACTGCCCTGTGTAGATTCAAATAAAACGAAAGAAGGTTCTGTTGTATTTCCTGGTACTTGGAGGAGAGAGAAATAAAAACTAAAGGTGGGTTCATTCCTACATCCAAGAACTAATGTACTATGGTCTGAGGATGTGGGTGCAGGAATGCCATAGTGCTTTGCCGAGTCACTTCTTTCACTGTGGGCTCTGGGAATTGAACTCAGGTTGTCAGACTTGCCTGGCAACTGCTGAGACATTTTACCTGTTCTGGATGTGTTTTAAGAATGAAGAATTCAGAACACAGACTTTTACTATGTTTGGTTTTGTAAGCACAGAGCTCCATCCAGTCCAGCTGTTAGAGAATATTAGAGAGACAGTTTCTCCTTTAATATCCCAGATTCCAGTACTTTCTGTGTTTGAAACTTGGTGAGCTGCCTGGCTTTCTTTTCTGAGGCAGGTCTCACTCTGTAATCCGGAACCACATGGACCGCTCACTGTAAAGCCTAGGCTGGACTTGAACTTGAGGCAAGCCTGACTGAGCCTCCAGGTTCTAGGATTACAGGTGTTAAAAACTACACTAGCTTCTGTGTTTTTATTTTTGAGTTGGGGTCTTGCTATGTTCCAGGGTAGCCTAGCCTACTCTCTTAGCCTCCTTCCTACTATGTTTGGCTCCCCCACCCCTTTTCTTCTTTTTAGGGTGGGAGTAGGGAAAGTAAACTTTTAATTGCATGTGTGTTTGCTTTAAATTGGAAGACTTACTTCCTGGTACTCATTAAGTCTTCTAGGAGCAGTTGGAATGAAGCAAGTTGAAATTAGAAAAATGAGATGTCATTTTTCAAATGTCTCACTACAAAATATCACCATAAATGTCTCTATCAAAGCCCCTCCTCACAGGGGGAAAAGTACCTGCTGTTTGCACATGTTGAATAAAATTTCGGGGTGTGTACTGGGTGTGTCATATGTGCAAAGATTATTTACCGGTCCACTATAAAATTCCTAGGTTTATTTGCTCAGTTCTGTTGAGTATGGCCTCACACATCACATGTGCATTCGGCTAGTCTTCCTTAACCAAGGAATGCATTTGCAGCATAGTTTTATGGCTCTCTGGAAAGTAGGGGCATAGTTTTGCCTGGAAAGAGAGTTAGGAATCTGTGATAATGTAAGCCTTCATTTGCTGTATGTGGAGCGCTGCTCCAACACCTTGAGCTAATTGCCGTGGCCTGGATTACAGATACATTCTGCCACTTGGTGATTAGGAAAAACACTTAACAGTTCAGCTAAATAAGTTGGACGAACATTTGTTTGTTTGTTTGGTAGGTTTGTTTGTTTTCTGAGACTGGGGTTTTTGTTTTTTTTTTGTGCAGCCCTGCCTGCCCTGGAACTTGCTCTACAGATCAGGTTGGCCTCAAACTCAGACCTGCCTGCCTGTCTCCCAAGTGCTGTGATTAACATGAGAAAGCATATTGTAAGGCAACAGTTTTAGGTCAGACGATCCTTTCATAGGGCTTGCATATCAGATATGATTAAAAATTACAGTTTTGAAATAACAACAAAAATATTTTAAGGTTGAGGGTCACCAAAACATAAGGAGCTGTATTAAAGGAAGCATTAGGAAAGCTGAGAACCACTGCCTTAAAGGAGAGATTGCCACCTACAAATTACTTTTTCTTATTCACATTGATATTTACAGTTCTTAATTTTGAAGCATTTAAAGTAGTAAAGTGGTGTGCAGAATAATAATCCTCTTTTCAAAAGAAAAATAACAACTTTGGGGGTCAATTTTGGCTGTTGTCACTGCAGCTAAATGTACATCTTCCTATCGGGTCTCCTCCCGCCCTAGAGGGTTCCAACCTGACTCAAAGATCTTACGGTGCTGGCTCGTTAAGGAAATGGTTTCGTTTAGGATGTTGCAAATTCATAGAAGGTTCATAATGGAGAAATGTCTTCAAGAAAACGGGAACTGAGGCAGGTAACCCAGGAAGTCTTAAGAAAGGATATGAACAGTTCTCTCTTGTCAGAGAAGGTACAGTAGGGCTATAGATGAGATACAAAGTAGAACATTCTGGCAGGAAGGGAAAATCTGTGTGCATCCTCTCCTCTTTCCTGTTTCTACAATTGCGGTGGTCTCACTGCTAGCTCAGGCTGCCCTCATCCCTAGAGAGATAGGCCTACCTCTACCTTCCAGGTGCTGGGATTAAAAATCCTGCCTTCCCAGAATAGAATGATGTGGACTTCCCAGCCACCCCTGCTTTCCAAAGGTGCAGGTGCAGGGCCATTTCACCATAGCCACCTCAGTGGATAGATTTAATTCTTTGCCACTTTTATGGTTTTTCTTTTTAATTTTTTTATGTATGTGGTTGTTTCACCTACATGTATGTCTGTGTGCCATGTGTGTGCAGTGCCCATGAAGGTCAGAAGAGGGTGTCGTATCCCTTAGAACTGGAGTTACAGATAGTTGTGAGTTGCTGTGTGGGATTGTCTGCAGGTCTTTGCAAGAGTGATAAGTGCTCTTAACCGCTGGCTGAGCCTTTCCTCCAGTACCCTTACTTTTATAATTGTGGTTGTACATGTATACATTTGTCATTCATTCTTCAGTAATGTGTGTATATATATACATATATATATATGCTATACTTTGCCTAGCCCCTTTCAGCCTTTTTTTTTTTTAAGTTCTTTTGGGGAGGGTGTTGGTTTTTATTACATTTACCTAATTTGGGGGACAGGTGCTTGAGACAAGGGTTCTCTGCATGGCCCTGGCTCTCCTGGAACTTGCTCTGTAGACCAGGCTGGCCTGAAACTCAGAGATCCGCCTGCCCTTGCCCCAAATGCCGGTATTAAAGGCGTGTGCCACCACCAGCTGGCTTACATTTACGTAATTTCTTGTGCTATTTACAAATGCTTGCAGAGGTCTGCTTGCAGAAGTCAGAGAACAACTTGGTGGAGTTGGTTTTCTCCTTCTAGCATGTAGCTCCTAGGCAGTGAACTCAGGGTTTCAGGCTTGTGGGCAAATGCCTTTACTCTGAGCCATCTCACCAGCTCAGGGTGTTGGAGTGAATATTATTCCACTGTAAAACTGTACAAGTGTATTCATTTCTCTATTAGTGAACATTTCTCCAGTTGATTTATCTGTTTAAACTTTCCACCATAGTTGGTTTCCATATACATTATTACATATTAGCTATCTAGTTGCTGTGTGTGTCTCTTGGCATGAATACCGAGACCTGTGGGTGGAGGGCATGCATATTTTTACTTCCTGCTGGTATGTTTTACTTTGTATCTCATCTATAGCCTTTGGTGGCTTGAATAAAAGATGTCCCTCAAGCTGTATGCTTGAGCACTTGACTCTCAGTTGGTGAAAACTGACACAGCCTCTTTTCTATTTGTTTTTTACCTCACATGAGCCTTGTATCCCTTCCCTGTCTAACATGTAGAAAATGGCTTCTATGTTTATTAGAAGTGAATTGAGTGCATTTTTATATATTGTGGTTTTTGGATTTTTTTGTTATTTGAGGCTGGGCATAGACCCCAAAGCCTCATATATATGATACACCTGTGAACCTGACTTCATCTGAGCTGACTTTAGAGCTATGTAATCAAGTACTCTCACACACACACGAAGAAGAAAAATCAGCAAGAGCATGATTTTCAATCATTGCTAGATCCTAATACTGTAGACTTAAATTCCTCCACGTTGTGCCTTTCCAGGCATCTTAAGGTGCTAAAATTGCAGAAGAGGAATGCTACCTCCTTATTTCAGCTGTCATTTTCAGGCTTCTGGAATGG